AATAGATAGACATCATGACACTCCAGTGGCTGGGCACCCTGGATGGCAACGAACGATGGAGTTGATCTCCAGAAACTACATGTGGCCGGGCATGGTCAAAAACGTACAGGAATACGTAAAATCCTGTCTGAGATGCGCCATGGCCAAGAATTCCCATCAACCGCCGGCCGGTAAACTCATGCCGAACCCGATACCAGCTGGCCCCTGGCAGGATATATCGGTGGACTTCACGACGGATCTGCCCGAGTCAAACGGGTACAATTCAGTAATGGTGGTAGTAGACCGCTTCTCCAAAGAAGTGGTATTCATACCCACCAACAAAACCATCACCGCCGCCGGTACGGCAGACCTATTTAAGGATTCCGTATGGTCCATCCATGGGTTACCAGAAACGGTAATCTCCGATAGAGGACCGCAATTTGCTAGCGAGTTTACGAAAGAATTGTGCCGGATGCTGGGCATCAAACCTAAATTATCCACGGCGTTCCATCCGCAAACCGATGGACAAACGGAGAGACTCAACCAGGAGTTGAAACAGTATCTCCGGATATTTATTAACGACAGACAGACAGATTGGGCCAAGTGGCTAAAGATAGCCCAGTTCTCTTATAATATTAAACAGTCGTCGGCTACAGGAAAGGCACCATTCGAGGTTACTAGATTGTACCTCCCCAGAATGGGTGTAGAACCTGGCAAAAGCAAAAACGAGGCTGCTGGGAACATGGCAAAAGACATAAAGTCTGTCTTGGACAAAACGCGCAAAGCGCTATTTAAAACTGCAGAGCAGATGAAAGACAGGGCAGAGCGTAGACGCTCTAAGGCCCCTGATTACAAGGTCGGCGACCTGGTCTGGTTAGACACCGACCACTTAAAATTAAAAGACCGGCAGTCTAGAAAACTGACCGAAAAGTGGATTGGCCCTTACCGGATTAAGGAAGTCAAACCTAATGCGGTGGAGCTGGAACTCCCAAAACGAATGAGGGTGGTACCCACGGTTAACATTAGCCGTGTGAAACCCTACAAAGGACCGCTACCGGGACAGCGCGTAGACCGGCCCGGTCCGGTGGTAGTCACCCAGGAAGGTGAAGAAGAGTTCAAAGTCGAACGGGTGGTAGATGCACGCTTGAAGCGTGGAAAATTAGAGTTCCTGGTCCTATGGAAAGGCTATGGAGACGAGGACAGAACGTGGGAACCAGAATCCCATCTGGAAAACTCCCGCGATGCTGTTCGCAAATTTTATTCTAGGAATCCCTCAGCTCCCAGGAAGCTTAGAGGCATGGATTCAAACCTTTTTAATTCCCTCTTTCAACCTATGCCCGAAAACTTTACCACTACCTCCGGAATTTGGTCTCGCCTGGAAGTCGAGCCTTAGAAGGGGGGTAGTGTTACGATAACACAATTTCCGGACATCTCCTTTCCTTTTTATTCTCTGCTTTAACTTTATACTTTAAGTGCCACGCGGCATTTCCCTTTCTCGCGCCGCGTTGCCTTTCTTTTACTTTTAGACTTAACTCTCTCACACAGTGGAGCTGGCCATACGGGCTAGGCCCTATGACATCATCAGCCACTGCCTTCATCAACTGTATAGTACACATGTACAAACAACCTGTAGTAGTATATATACCCCAATAGATCCAGGAGACTCCTCAGCGAGTCCTCCTGTTGTATACCAACAAACTCTCTGCAGCTTAAGGGGTAACCACTCCCTCAACATCTTCTTTATAGTGTGTTCTTGTGTGCGCCAGAGTAACTAACTCTTGGTTGTTACACCTGTGACATTACTCACAGCATTCATTGTTCTATCCCTTTCTTTTCCTTTTTGACAATCTTATCCTGTACTACCTACGCAGGATTCATCAGCGTACATTCCTTCCTTCATGTTCTTTCTCATTCTTTTTGCACAGCTATACTGTGCATAGCCTACTTTTCTTTTACTATATAAATCCCTGTATTTTACCTTGTAAAAAAACAAGAACTCGATTCCAGACTTCTTCTCTAATCCTAAGTCCACTTCTTACTGCTACTTGTGATCCAGTGTGGTCACAACACTTCCCACTGCTACCACTTTTAATTGCTGTCATCATCACTTCCCACTTTTGAAGTCATTGTTATCCCTTTCGATTAGAGTCCTTCTGAGCACTACAGTTTGTGCACCAGGAGCCTGCTATCACTGGGAACATCGTCACCTCGTCATCCTCATTGTTCTCCTTGTGCTACAATTAGCAAGGTAGTGCTCATCTATACTCGTCACTAAGTCCCTATCTTCTATAAATTCAACTATCCCTCCTCCTCAAAACCCACACTCATACATCTTTGGGTTTTAGTTTGAAGGATCATTATACGTACCACCCCACGAACAACCAGACCACTCTACTGTTCTAGGAGGCAAAGCTCATAAACAAGTTCCATGGAATCTGGGAGGATTGTGTGTTAGTTTGTTTTTGTGTGTGTGGTTTTCTAACAGCAGTTCTCATCATCGACACCGACTTCATGTCTTTGACCTTGTTCTCATCAGCCTTGTTCTTGCTTTTGCCAGGTTCTACACCTATTCTGGGAAGGTACGATCTGGTAACTTCAAATGGTGCTTTTCCTGTAGCCGACAACTGTTTATTATTATATGAGAACTGGGCTATCTTTAGCCACTTGGCCCAATCCGTCTGTCTGTCATTAATGAATATCCGGAGATATTGTTTCAACTCCCGGTTGAATCTCTCTGTTTGTCCATCAGTCTGCGGATGGAACACCGTTGATAATTTAGGTTTGATGCCCAGCATCCGGCATAGTTCTTGCGTAAATTTGCTAGCAAATTGTGGTCCCCTATCAGAGATAACCGTTTCTGGCAATCAGTGGATAGACCATATGAAATCTTTAAATAGATCTGCTGTACCAGCGTCGGTAATGGTTTTATTGGTGGGGATGAATACCACTTCTTTGGAGAAGTGATCCACTACCACCATTACTGAATCATACCCATATGACTCGGGCAGATCCGTTGTAAAGTCCATCAATATATCCTCCCAAGGACCAGCTGGTATCGGATTTGGCATGAGTTTACCAGCCGGCGGTTGGTGAGAATTCTTAGCCATGGCACATCTCAAACAGGATTTTACGTATTCCTGTACGTCTTTGACCATGCCAGGCCACATGTAGTTTCTGGAGATCAACTCCATTGTTTGTTGCCACCCAGGGTGCACGGCCACTGGAGTGTCATGATGTCTATCTATTGCCTTGATCCTTGCGGACTCAGGCACGTAGATCTTGTCTTTAAAATGGAAGAGCCCGTCTTCCCATAAATAGTTTTCATTGCCGTTAAGGCGCGCCTTCTCTTCTGAGGAGATGTCTTTCTTAAAGACTTCCAGAAGATCGGAATCCTGCCCAATTCTAACATTAGCAACCCTTGATTGGTCTATCAGGGTAACACCTTTGTTGTCATCTTTGATGCCGTTGGCATGATCCTCTCTTCTGGACAAAGTGTCCGCTTTCCCCATAGAGCTTCCAAGCTTATGAATTAATTTATAATTAAACCTTGACAAGTATACCGCATAGCGAGCCTGTTTTTGGTCCAAGTCTCGGGCCGTCATAAAATACTCCAGATTTTTATGATCGGTCCAAATTTCAAATTAGTGTCTAGCACCTTCTAAGTAGTGCCGCCAGTGCTCTAAGGCTCTAATGATGGCCAGCATCTCTTTGTCGTAAATTTGATAGTTGCGCTCCGTAGGCGACAAACTATGTGATAAATAGGCACAGGGCCTCCAAAGATCGTCAGGGCATTTAATTGACAAAACAGCCCTAGTAGCAAAATCAGAAGAGTCGGTTTCTAGCCAGAACTCTTTGTCTAATTCTGGAAATGCTAATATGGGCGCTGTTGTAAACGCCTGTTTAAGCTTATCAAAAGCTTCTTGTTCTTTGGCGCCCCAGTGCCAAACAATGTCCTTTTTAGTGAGATTGTTCAACGGTCTCGTGATTTTTGCGAAGTTTTCAACAAATCATCGGTAGAAATTGCCTAAGCCAAGGAAGGCCCTAACTCCTTTGACGCAAGTAGGTTCTGGCCAGTCCAATATAGCTTGAACTTTCTCAGGATCCATCCTGATTCCGTTCTGGCCTATGTTCATACCGAGGAAGTCTACTTCCTTCACTTTAAAATTACATTTTTTGGGTTTGACAAATAGGTCCCGTTCTTGTAAGCGTTGAAGGACTTCTTGCACGATCCTGTCATGCTCAGCCTCATCGTCCGACTTCGTGAATATTAATAAATTGTCAATGTAAATGATGACACAGTTTATCATATCCGCAAAGATCTTGTTCATCATGCTCTGGAAGGTTGCCGGTGAATTGGTCAACCCAAAGAATATAACGAGGGGCTTGAAGGATCCTCGGTGGCACGTGAATGCGGCCTTCCAAGCATCTTCTTCTTTGATTTGTACATTATTGTACCCCCAACTAAAATCTATCTTTGTCAAGATCTTGGCACCAGCCAATTTGTCTACTAGCTGACTGATCAAAACCAGCGGATACACATTTTGAACTGTGTACACATTCAAGTAACAATAGTCTATAATCATTTGCTTTTTACTATCCTTTTTAGGAATGAAGAACACCGGGGACATCATAGGGCTTTTGGAAGGTCTGATGTTACCCTTCCTAAGTTGTTCGTCTATGAAACTAGATACCTCGTCTCTTTCGGGAGCAGAGAGCGGTATCATGTGTCCCTTCCTTGGTTTGAAGGTGTCTTTCAAATCTATAGCATGGTCCCAAGGCTTAGCCTCTGGGAAGCACTCTGATTTGTGTTTTGAAAAGACTTTCCAGAAGTCGTGGTACTCGGGAGGTACTAGCCTCTTAATCTCTTCCTCGGGTTTTACCTCGTCATTGTCATTGTCAATCTTTTCTAAAGATCTGAGCTCATGAAAGTGACCAGCATTTATCTTTTCAAGACGCTCAGTTTGACGGACGTGACTCGGCTTACCCAATTTTTTGCACTCCTGAGGGCAATGTAACAATGTGACAACCCCTGTCTGCCAGTCGATCTCAGGATTGTATTTAAATAGCCAGGTACAGCCCAAGATTAAATTAATCTTGCCTAGTTGGGTAGCTTTGGCAGTGACTCGTTCTCTGTGTCCTTGATACTCGGCAACAAAAGAATATTTGTGCGTGATGCAGCCACCCGCATCAAGTGTACTGTCAATGTTATAGACGAGAATAGATACATCTAATTTTACAAGGGGGAGTCCAATTTGCTCTGCCCAGACCTGATATATGAAGATGCTGTTAGTGCCTGAATCAAGCAGTGCACTGGTTGGGTGTACTATGCCCCGGACAAGGTTTTCCACACCAACGTCTAAACAAATCTCCTTTTGGAATAAATATGTGCACACCAGCATACACCTTGGGATTTCTGTAGAAGGTGGCTCCAGAGAAGAAGAGGAAGAAGAGTCAAAAGAAACATGTTTTTCTACTTTAGTATTTTCTATATTTTTATTTTTATTTTTACCTCCTCCGACGCTTGGAAGAGGTTATCACTCCTCATATCCTGCAGATAGAGCTATTCTGCAATGTGGGAGTTCACATTGCGTTCCAGCAGATCCACTGCATGTTCATTACCTAAGCCCCCTTGGATAGAGAGGGCCAGGAACCGGGTTTCAAAATCATCCGACCTCATGTTTCCTTGCTTAAAGGTATGGATCTGCTGGCGCGCCCAGTTACACTCAGCTTGCGGTTTGAAATACTTTTCGATCTCAACTTTGAGATCATCCCAGACAGGCCACACTCCCGCGGTGTAGCACTCCTGCATTCTAACTTGGGCATACCGACCCGCCACAGGTCCTTTTAGTCGAGATAGCACTGGTGGCTACCTCAAAATTGTCAGAAAATGCATCCCAGTTTGCCTTGACCCAAATTTGGAGCTTGATCCACCACTCGGCAAATCGCGCTCTGTCTCCCTCAAAGGTGCCAGGGTCAGCAACAACTTTGACTTTCTTATTGAATTTTTTCTTGACCGAGGGAGTTGCTGCAGGAGGGTGTGCCTGCAGCTCGGCGAGTTGTGTAGTCAATTTCAAGATCTGTGCAACAGAGTGTTGACATCAGGTTGGTTTTGCGACGACATGTCGACTTGTTCTCTTTGTAAATGTAAAAAAACGTAACTGGGGGTCCCCGCTTGCTATCTGCAGATCTACCTCTTCCCAGCTGAGTATTGGATCTCAATCTCCGACTACCCACACTATAGTATTTGAAAAGTATATAAAAAGTAAACATAAGAAACCCTGGTCCGAACGGTTGTCAGGGGGTGGTCCACTTGTTAAGCTGTCAACCCTTCTCCAACTGGCGGAGGCAAGTGCCCGGCCTGGTCAGAGGAAAACAAAGAAGAAGTTTTGTGTGTAATTACTAATCAACAGTGGTTCCACACCAACTGCTGAGCTAAAGTACTCCCCTTAACACTGGGGGCTGTGTATCAAAAAATAATTGTCCTTTCTCCCAGAGCACTATGGGGCCGTCGCTAGGAGCGCACCCTTGTGCTATATGGGATATCCCTAAACAATAACCCCTTAACCCTGGGGACCGGGTTTGCACAACGTGCGAGAGAGTAGAAAGAGTGAGTCCTAATGTAACAACCAAGAGTTTGTTACTCTGGTGCACAACTAGAACACACTATAGAGATGATGATGAGGGAGTGGTTACTCTTTAGGCTTTGACAAGTTAGTTGTGAGGATACAACAGGAGGACTCGCTAAGGAGTCTCCTTGATCTATTGGGGTATATATACTACTACAGATTTCTTTGTACATATGTACTATACAGTTGATAAAGGCAGTGGCTGATGATATTATGGGCACAGCCCGTGTGACCAGCTCTACTGTGTGAGATACTTGTAGCTAAAATAAGAAGGAAGGCAGTGCAGCACAAGAAAGAGGAGTTTGAACAAAAGGGAAAGTGTCACTTGGCACAGTGTGTGAAAACTACAGAAAAAGGTTAAAGAGGTGAATGAAAATTGAAGGTCCAAAAATTGTGTATTGTAACATGAGGGGTGTTGTAGATTATCAAAATTCTATTGCATGTATCTATTTATTATCCCAGCCTTATGATATTGATGTTATCACCTCCAAACACATGAAGAAGCCCAGCTATTGGATTTGGGAGAGTTCCACAATGGGAAAAGAAGTTGGTTAAAATAACTCCTGGCCAGCATTGCTTATTGCATCTCATGTCAACTGGCACTATCACAGACCATCTTGGGTATCAAAGGCACCAAAGTTTTACACAACCAAGTTTCAATGGAGACAGTGGATGTAGTACTGCAGCCACAAATTGGAGTATAATGACCTGCAGTGTGCAGTGAAGAGACTGCAATGTAAAAAAATACATAAAAGACATTTTACTATATAATGGTTCAATAATTCACCTTGGTCAAATAGTTGCACTTTGCTGGATTTCTTAATGCCCCAAAAGATGATTAGTTCTGACATATATCAGAGTTTTGTGGCTTTCAGAATTGCAAGCGCAAGAAATCATACACTCTTTGCTCAAAATTTGCCCAACATACATACTTAATTTGGAAATATAGTGATGTAAGAAACTCCCATGGTAAGGGGGTAGTAGGATATCTTAATGGTGTAAGGTGGCCTCATGTATATTTTTTCTTGAACGGGTGACCCTTGTTTGCTATCTACTTTACAGCTGGAACCATTCAGTGTTGAGTCCTGCTAAGTCTCGTTGCTGTCAGAACTGTGACCTTTTGGAGTGTCGGAGTTATGGAGTACGGAGATGGAGTAGGGGGTAACAGAGTATGAGATTGGGAGTTGGCTTAGCTTGTGCACTAGGCCCTTCTGTGGACTTTGGTCCCTAACTCGTCAGAATGGATGAAGGAGAGTAGAGGATGAAAAGAATGAAAAGGGAGCAGAGTAAAGATCCTTCGGAGAAAGACTGGAAAGACTTAAAAAGGGACTTGTAAAAAGGTGAGGGAATTTAGTTGATATTCAAACTGCAGGAATGGAGTACAGGAGGAGTAGGAGCTCATAAGGAGTAACTTATAATATAGGTACGGAATTCCATGCGGACAATTATCTAGTGAAAGAGAAATGTATGTGCAAGGAGTGTATCATAAGGTCTAAACTACAGAGTCCATGAGGAGTACAAGAACATGCGTAGGAAAGCATATGGCGAACTAGAAATCCAGTGCAGGAGTATTGGAATGGGAGTCCAGGGTACCATATGGGGGTGGGGCACAGGGTTATGCCAACCGGCGGGCCATAAGGAGCGTAATCCCGAGAATACTGAAGATTTGGGTGGGAGGTTCAGACTTGAGGAAATTTCTCCTTTGGAGATTCCGGAGTTCTGTCCTCCGGTATGGATATGACAGTTGTAGAGAAGCGATGATCTGCCAAGTTATGCCAGAGTAATGGCTTTGACAAAAGGGGGGCTCTCTGCTACAAGGGCTTATTGTGGATAAGATTAAGAATCCATTTGAGAACTGTTTTACCTGCGTCTAGGATTGCCCAAAGTGTGGTGTCAGAACCCTGTTAGAAGCGGAGACCAAACACGATCAATATCCAAGTTAGGCAAGTAGGATGAGGGGCATACATGGGGCATACACGCCTTTCCAGAATACATCCATTGATGGACAATTTTGGAAACTCAGAGAACCCAGAGAGAGAAGCCAAAGAAGATGGGGTGGATACAGAGTTAACTCAAAGGAGGGGACGCAGCAGTTCAATGCAGTTGTAGCTATGTTTCTACAAATCATTGTATCTACTGCAACAATCTACGCTGATTCCAAGCTGCTGTTAGTTTTGGTGATTCTGCACCTTTGTGCTACCTCTATATTTTCATTCCTTTCTCTATCTATCCCTCTACCATTCAGTATTGATTGTGTTCTCTATTATTTCGCCTTTGTGGCTGCTTTGTTTACCTTTGTTTACAAAACATCGGACAGTACTGCAGAGTCCAATGCTTCCTATTCTCTAGTTACTCACATTGGACTCTAGGTACTGTATACCTGTCATACATACTCTCTAATAATATAGTTACTCACATTGGACTCTAGTTCCAGTCCCTGATTGCTCTCAGCAAGTGGCTAGACACTTCCTTCAAGCTTTGTTCTTAATAGGTTATGAGCCCTGTGCTCTAGCCATCTTCCTGACCTCATATCTCACCATCCAAGCGTCCTACTGCTTATCCATTGTAACCATCGTCTTCTGGGACTCCTATTATCCCATCCATCACCTCAGATTACTCTGATCTCATCCTGATCTCCAACAACAACTCCTTGTTGCAAGTTACCCCCATTTTGGACGCTTTTTTGGTCTTATCTGCATCATATCTCATCCAATCCTTATCTGATCGTCCCCAAACTTCTACCATCGTCTTCTACGGCCTAAATAACCCTAGGAGACCTGTCAGAGCGGTTGGATTTGAGCTGGATCTTTCTGTGAGCCTTCATCATCATTTGATCACCTTTTGGCCCCCTACTCCATATCTCCACATCCTGTGCTCGGATCTTGGCCCTATTTGAGCCATCTAGTACCCTATACTATCGCACTCTACACCCTCAATTTGGGGGCAATCCATCCACTCCATCACCCTCTGTGAAGTTCGCATTTTTGGCACTTTCACCCGTATTGCACCCCTATTGCATATCTCCACATCCTGTGCTTCACTTCTTGCGATATTTGGGCCATCTATTGCTCTATATAAACGTTCCATATACCTCTGATTAGGGGGGAATCCATCCATCATATCTGTCTCTGCATCATTTTCGACTTTTTGCCCTATTTTTCGCTTTTTGGCATATCTGGTGTGTGCATAAAGCTCCAATCTTCTCTGCTCTGTCCATTATCAGATAGAACAAGCCTATAGACTGTGAAGCTCGCCTGCATTGCCTCAGTTTGCTGTTGCCTAGAGCCTCTCTCAGCCTGCGGTGTTTGGGGAGCTTAAGTCACTTTGTTGACTCATATACAAGCCCTATTAACCAACACTGTCTCGAGGCGATTTCTCTGTTAATATCAGTGTGGTATTGAAAGGGGAACACAGGCGTAACCCTGTAGCAGCACTAGGAAGCCTTAGCACCCTCCTGGATCGCTTTTGGACGCTTTTTGGACCCTATTTGGACCTATCCTTGCGCTTTCTGACCCTCTCCATATCCTCTCTCTACCGCCTCACCATCTTATCTGCTCGCCTCCTACTGTTGCCCATCGCCTTTGCCACTTTTCTATCGCCTATAGCCGTCTCCTACATCATTTATCTTTGCTCTATCGTCTTATACAACACCCATCATGTCTGACTCTGACCCAAAGTTCCATCCCTTGTCTGTCACTAACTACCCCCAGTGGAGTGGTGAAATGCAAGCTTGGTTGATGACCAAGGGACTGTGGAGGCTCGTCTCTGGCGCT